TGGGGAGTTGCACAAGCAGCTCCAGAAACATCCCCAGCAGTTCCAGCAGAAGGTTTCACAACCTGAACTCACAGCCCCTGGCTGCTGCAGGCACAGAGGGAGCACTGCCCTCCTCTCTCCGTTTTTGAAGCTGGGTCCTGACACTGCTATGGCTAGCGTGGCAGAAGCACAGCTTGCTCTGACCCCACTGAGCAGCCCCACAGCTGTGTGGGGTCACCCCAAAGCTGGGGTCACCCCGGGGCTGGGTCTCTTCCCTCGGGTGGTCAGGCACTGGCACATCCCAGTCAGGTCCTGAGGCTATCACTGCGCTGACGCTTGCTGCAGAGTCAATAAACCCCTTGGGGAAGGTGCAAAGTTCACGCTGGGGCTGGCAGGCACCTGAAGGGCCAGGAGGGATGTGATGAGGGAGCACAGACCTGAAAAGTACAGCTCTGGGGCAGTGCTGCCTGGGGCTGCAGGGACACCCCCTTTCCTGACGGCATCTGAGCAGAGGGTTGAGGGGTACAAAGTCATCTGGGCACTGCTGCCACCTGCATTGGTTTTGGTGGAACCCATAGAAGCTCCCGGGGTTTCCTCCAGTCCATGACCATCCCCTGTGTGGTGAACAACTGTAGGTTAAAGATCACAGTGGCACTGAGGGGATGGCAGGACACAGCAGGTCCTTGGTTGGGGTCATCCCCAGCCCATCATGTGCCTGGACTGGGGACAAGTATTATGGCACAGCCCATCCTGTTCTGTCCCACCAGGGAAGGGGCTGGGCTCTCATCACAGCCAGTCCAAACACCACAAGGGGACAAAGCAGAGCCCTGCCAGCCTGCAGGGACCTGTTTGGTCAGTGCTTAGTCTCCACACCTATTTCTCCCACCTCTCTGACTCTCATTCATCCCCAGCACAGGCTGGGGCTGAACTCTTAGCTGCAGATCCTCCACAGTGCCAGCAAACAAGCCATGCGTCCTGGCAACATCCCAGCCCTGGCATAGGGAACCTGGTCCCCAGTGTGGATAAATTCATGTGTGTGCTTAGCCACAAATGAACAAGCCACAGGAAGACAAAGGAACACAGACCTGATTTTCTTCCAACATCAGTGTTGCCCGCCAGGCCTCCCAACACTGTGGGACCCTCCTTGTTCCTGGATGGGGCAGTAATGTAGGTCCAAGTCAGTTCTGCTTTCCTCATGTGCCCCCCAGTCCTCTTCTCTTGCCCCATCGTGGGAGCCAAAAAGCAAAGAGGACAGAGCTGGGCTCTCACAGTGCATCAGGACCACTGCCCTGAGCACAGGGAATGGCAGATTCAGCTCTCAGCCCTTGTCCCCAGACTCTTGTCACTCTGCAGTGACCCTCTGAGGACACAGGGACAACCCAAGGGGCCTTCTGGGTCTCCCTGCACACTCTGTCTGTGGAGCAGACAATCCTGGCACTGAAAGAAGTGTCTGTTTTACTGGGAATATACCAGAGACACAGAATAACAAACCTCCAGGACACCACGTTCCCCAGGGGCAGCCAGCCCAGGGACAAGCCATCCTGGGCTGAAATGAGAGGCTATTGATTTGATGTTTTTCTTTTCTTTTCCTGGTTTAGAAACTTTCATTCTCTGTCTCCCCACCAAGGAAATGACCTGGTACTGCAACGTGCAATGAGTAACATTGCTGTGAGCTTAGGGAAATGCCAAAGCCTGGGGAGCTGATGATTTTTACCTCTCCCTCTTTCAAGTTTAATTCCTCTTTTCAGCCTTGGACACATTTGTAAAAGCCTCTTCCCAACTCCTTCCTTCCCTCTCAGCAACTTCCCTTCCCTAGGAGAGGAGTTCTGAGTTTGCCACCAGCCCTGAGGAACTGGGATTTGCTTGAACTGCTGGAGGAAGCAGAAGGTCCTTGGCTCATTTATACAACAGCATTTCACAGTGAAACAGCTGCCTCGGGAGAGTAGGGAACAGGGAGGAAATAAATCTTCACAAACATCCATCCAAGGGCACTGAAGGCAGGTACAACACATTGCACGTGACAGGGATGGGCCACGGCAGTCATGAGCTGGACTCAGCTAGAATAGCCCTGGGAATAATGGAAGTCATAGACATCACAGACACCAAGGGATCTGCCAAGGTCACCAAGAAGCTGCCAAAAGAGCTGGGAGCTGAAGGGAAAAATAAACCCAAACTGTGGTTTTGTGTCCATCCCCCCATGTCCCATCCCCAGGGCTCACCCGGAAGGCTGTGGCAGTTGACTTGTTCCAGCATGGAAAGGTTAGTGGCTGGGACCCTCACTGCTAGGGCCAAGGGCCCAACTCACCCTCTGGAAGGAGGTTTGCTGTCCCTTAGGCCATCTGGCCTTGGGGCTGTTCCCCCATCAGCAGTGACTCTTATAGCCCAGGGCTTCCTCCAGCACTGTAAGCCAGGAAACTACTGCCTGGAGACACGCCAAGCCTTTATCAGCTGTGCATGGAGAGTGAATCTCTCACCAGATCAACTGATAAGAGCCGGAAAGGAAAAATAACCGGTGTACACAGCTTTGCAGTGTGCAGTACTGCTGGTCCCCAGTGCGCGTCCAAAGTCACCAGCCAGACACGCAGCTGTGCCCTTCAGCCCATCCCACAGATCCCATCCCACTGATCCCGCCCCACAGATCCCACCGCCCTCAGCCCATACCACTGATCCCACCGTCCGGAGGAGCACGCTCCAGCTCCCCATTTGAAAGCAAACCCAGAGACACGGTAGTTTGTCCTTCTGACTGTTTTTTAAGATAACGGAGGCATAAAACATTTTCGATTGCTATCAGTCCTCACCAGCCTTCTGGAATAAACAGTAATAAAATTCCTTGGTTTACAGGCAGGGATTTCACAAGGAGGAAAATCAAGGCACTAACGAGACTGGAGTATCAACATTTCAATGTTATCTCTAGCATTTCTTTCCTAGTATTAAAAACATGCTTTTAAATTCCAAATAAGCTCCTTATCCTGCTCTTGCTCCACATGAAACATACAACAATGCAATTGCTGTCTGCAGGAAAAACAAAACCATGAAATCAAGTCCATTTATGAACCCAAGGAGGAGTGAAACAATCAGGGATGAGATGGAGCCATCCTGGTTCCCAAATGGCTTTGTAATGCAGAAAGCCCTGCCTGGGGTGTCCACTTTTGCCAGAAAAGATTCTTACTAATGTCTTACCTATCTGAGGTATTAAGTCCTCAGCATTCAGTCTGGTGTTCCCCCAGAGCAAGCCCCTGTGAGACCACATGTGACCACGGCAGTCACCCCAGAGGGGCTGCTGGAGAACTGGAGTGGCTGTATGGCAACTTGGAGCTTCTTCAGACACTGAGGAGGGGCAAAAAGAGAGGCACAGAAGTGCTTTGGAACATGCAGCTGCCCGAGCTGCCTCTGGCCAGGCTCATTGACATGCAGGAGCCCTGAGGCTGCTGTGTTTCTGGGGAATGGGTTAGGTACTCCAAGAACATCTCCAAGAAGAGTAATGGCACTTTGTGCTTCATGTAGCACATTTCTTTTGGAGCACAACAAAACTCTAAGCAGAGTCAAGGGCAATAGTTGAGATGCTGGTTGTTTTACAGACACAGCAGATTCCTCCTGGGCATGGCAAAGGACAGCAGCTACACAGCTGGAATAAAGCTCAAATCCCACCAGCTGGACCAAACTCCATTACAGCCACAGGCACCAAACACTGCATCCTGCTCTGACTCCCTTGCTGAAAACTCTCCTCTCCCACACACCTTTCCACCAGCTCTGAATAAAACAGAGAGAGATTGTGCTAATACTGGTGGGTGAAAGTTCTAAAGCTGAGCAGTGTGAATGCCTCTAACAGCACTGCTACATTCCAGATAATTCGTCTAGCCCACTCTTAAAGTCCCTCCCAGCTCCTTGGATTTAGAAGCATTTCCTCCACAAATGGTCAAAATCCCTTACTGAAGTCTCCCACTACTTCACATGCATCTGAGGTTGCCTGATTGACAAGTGCTGGTGACACAGACTGAGCTGGTGCAGTGCTATCAGAAAATGAAGGCAACATGTTGATGGATGCACAGACTGCAGCTAAGAATTTTAGAGCTAGCATTTTAGAGCTGTGTTTTGGGAGGGCAGAAAAGGGTGTTCTGTAGTCTGTCCTCTTGCCCCAGCTTGGTTTAACAAGCCCCTTTCAAGAGGTGTCTTAGTGGAGAAGTCATCAGTACAAAAGACATCTCTCCTCCTTCAAATATTAAGTTATAAACTAAGGCTTCCATGATTCCCCCTTCTTTTGGGTCCTAGTTACATCACACCTGTAAACAAGAGAGGAGTGTAAATGGGTATGTGCTTATGGCTGCAGCCTAGTTAAACCCCAGATTCATCCAGTGTTTTGACAATGAGGTTCCTAGCTTGGCTCAGGAGGCTGGTGCACTGGAATTCCAGTGGCACTGTGGAAAACAAGGCAGCTGCAAAACGCAGCAATGAAAAAAGATTTCAAAAGGATGAGAAGTGCAGTATCAAAAAGTAAAAAAAACCATAAAGGAATATAATTCAAGTAGCCTGTGCCAGGGAGCATAGGAATGGCCTACATTGGAGCTACCAACCCATCGCAGTACTCACCCCAGACACAGCAAAGATGACAGCAATGCACTGATGTGAGAGCATCACACAATGGTCCTGCCCCAGTGTGAGTCCTGCTGCTTTCTGGAGGATCAGTACACCTGGACTCTGGTAAATTCAGCTGAAACAGGAGCCCCAGTGGCTGCTGGATACCCTGGTGCTTGCTGAATGCCAGCCAGGGAACTCACACCGGCAGGTGACTGTGGATCAGTTGGGCACACGTGCTGTGGGGGAGAGAACTTGCTGAGCTGGCAGCACTGTCCCAGTGAGGCTCCAGCGTGGGCCTGCCCAGAGCACTCTCCAAAGGCACCTCTGGCTTGGTAGTGGGAGGAACTGAGACTGTGTCCTGCAGCATGGCCCTGCTGAGTTCCCTCATGTCCCAGAGCATGGCCATATCCTGGAGCACAGCTGTGATGAAACCCCTGGCTCCAAGCATTGGGCTGCAGCATCTGGGAAGCAGGAGGAGCCTGAGGTGAAGGACAGTAGTAGCTTTGGGTGGGATAAGTGCCTGGTACAGGGTTAATCCTGGGCAAGAAGAAAACAGAAGGTTACACTGTGCTCAGAACTGGCATTGCCTAATTAGCACTGGAAGTGCCCTGAGGGTAGTTTCCTCCTGACCAGTGCTCAGAGAGGTCACCGCAGTCCATCAAAGGGATTCACTACAACAGAAGCTCTTACTATAAGAAGCACTTGAATAAAAATAGGTTTAGTGGCCTCCTAGGACAGATGCTCCCACTCTCAACCCACACCAGTTTCACACCCACTGAACGACTGTGGTTCTTGGCCCTGAGTCTTTTTGTGCAAGGAATACACAAGCCAACTGCAATGTGCTTTGAGATTCCCATATGCATCCTCCCTGCCCTGTGAGCGACACATCTGCCAAGTTATTAATCAGGAGGAGTCACAGCTGCCAAGTGCTATTTATCAAGAAAATATAAAGGCCTTTGGTGTGTGTAAGAGCCCAGAATAGAGAGCAAAAAGGGAAGGAGGAGAGAGTTAGAAATAAAATGAATCATTCAGAAGGGCTAGAAAGCCTTTGCCAACAGAAGGCATGACTCATCCCACCAAAATGGATCAGAAGAGAGGGAATCTGCCTGGAAGCCGAAGCCTCTGGGACTTCAGGAGTGCTGCTCAGCCCACACACAACAGGAAGATGAGAGCTGAGAATCAAGGCAATATTCATGAA